CATATATACATTTGTTATCAACTTTAATCATCTGAAGGAGGGAACATAAAAATATTTTTTGATTGCCAATATTTTCTTTTATTACTTCCCAAGTGCGCTTAGAGTTATTTTTAAATTTGTCTAATATTCTAGAGTAATAATTTTTTTAAGTGTTTACAAATTTTTTCAAACAAATATTTATAATCTTTGTATATTTTCTCATTTTCACATGATTTCGTTTTAAGAAATTTTATGTACAACTACTGCTTTTTTTCTTTAATGAATTTTTAAAACCCTTGGTAACCCAAGAGTTATTTAAATATTTTATTTTAACTTTTTTCAATAATAGAAAAGTTAGGATCATATACGACATATATTGTTTTAAAAAAGGTCTCATAAATGGTCTCTGCATTTCTCTTGAAATTATTAAGAACCGAATGCAAAAAAAGTAACTGATTTTTAAAAAGGTTCATATTAGTAAGATTAAAATTACGCATAAATATTATTGAAGAGTTATTATTAATCGTAGCGTTTGAGTTAAGTGTCAGAAATATTGGAAAATAGTTAGAAATTTCAGATTTTAAAATGCCTTTTTAAATGTCGCTGTTGAAGATATCAGTTGTTATGATATTGTCAATTAGAGACGTTGAATTTTTTGTTACCCTAGTTGGACGTGTAATCAAGGGCACAGCTCTTGATTAATCGTTCAATTAGGGTAAGAGTCATAGAAATTTTTATCTTTATTGCCTTTATTATATATATATAATTTCAAAGTACTAACAGTGCTAAGTTGTGCATAGATGGTGTCCATGTTCATGCTTTTGGTGTGCATTGTTGAGGCACTTGGACAAATAGAAAAGTGGCAATTGCTGGAACTATTAGATAGAATACTGAGAACTATCTGCGCTTTGAGTCAAGTCCCCTAACCAGTTCTAAAATAACTAAAGTATCAAAAATTATAAAAGACAAAAAACCATCATCATCATTACCAAGTTCTCTAAATCTATCATTCAATAATATTTGCTTTTTGAGAGACTAATTTGAGTTTCGCCGTTTTATCGTGTTATCTTTGTGTTGATGGTTATTTTCCTTTAATTCGTAAAGACTTCAATAGTAACATGCTTAGCCTGGGCATTCGCATTTGTAAAAATTCACCCATTTGTTGGAAACTTGCTTTGAATCCACAGACTATAATCTTATGTGCTTTTGTTTAGCACCACTTCAATATATCATCTTTCTCTTTGTTCTATATTGTTTCCTTCATCTCAATACTGCACTCTTTTCATTATTACTTCTAATCAAATTGGCGAAACCCATTCTATCTATCCTTCAGCCAATTTCGTTGTTGTTGGTGACTTTTTTAAAACAATTCCTTAATTTTTTTCGCTGATTGAAATTTTTTCACTTTTTTTCTATGGGTATATAAAGATTCCTTTGTTTAATTCTTACACAAGACTAATACAAAAAAGATTAAAAATCATTTTGAACAAATTTTTCAGAATTATTATATAAGCTTTCTTAAAAATTATGAATTAAAACTTATTCATAAACATTTTTGTAAATATTTATTAGTTAATCTTTAAAATGTCAAATTTTAAACTATCTGATCAAAATAAAAATTTTCAATGTAATCAGCTCTTAAAAATTCAAAAACACTAAACAAGAATTCAAAAAGTTATTGAGAGTTTGTATTGAAAACTAAATAATTTGTAATGTTGTTGTTATACATTTTTGAGTTGTTTGTCCGCATATCAATCCCAGAATCCTTAGTTTTAATTTATTCAATATTTGTTTGACAAAAGCAAAATGCTACCTTATTCGGGTGCAATCTCAGCAAAGAATAGCAAGGTGTAAAAATTAAAGTTATTAGTTTTCCAAAAATAAAATCAATAATAAAGAAGAAATATAATTTACTGTTAAAAGTTTCCTTGACTACATTATTATGTTTTATACTTTTTTTAGCAATAACTTTTTGTTTTGTTTGTAATACCTGTTGTCAGTTTTTTTTTTTGTTTTTGTTTTTGTTTTTCACAGTGTTTTTCTGTTATTATATTGCAATATATTTTGGTTATTATATTATAACAATTATGTAATTAATATATTTACTAAATCTTTATTTTTATTTTTTAGCAATTAAAAAAACATTAAAAAGACATAAAACTTTCTAAAAATCAGACTAAACATTAGCCTGGGCTAATGCTAGGTTAAAGTTTCTCATAGAAGCAAAATTTAAGATATAAAAACTGCTCAGTAATTAAACCACTCTTGTTTGTGCTATTTATAAAATGAAAAGACCCCGTGTTGAAATCTAAATACAAAATGATTTGCAGATGTAAACTTGAAACTTTTCTATATAAGTTCAAACTAATAGTCAAGCAACTGCATGGTTAGCCTAAAACTCTAAAAAACTTAGCCAAGCTGTATGCAGATAACACCAAAATTTTGAATGAAATGCTTTCCTGTTTTGTGTTTGCTTTCCACACAAGGCTAACCAAATGTTGGGTTAGATTAGAAAACGCTTCATTTGTTTAGATATTAGACTCCTGAGAATGAGAGTTTGCAGTATCAGTTTGATCACCTAATCAAAAGGGAGATTTTGATTTATTAGAAAGAGTCCAACATCATGCAACTCGATTAATACCATCACTCAAGATAATCAACTATGAGAATCATCTAAAAGCTCTCGACTTGACTACCATGACAAAAAGGAGTCAAAGAGAAGACATGATTCAACTTTTAAAATTCTTTGACAGTTTTAACGATTTGAAAACAATCAAAAAAATTAGTTTTCAACAAACTCAAACAAGAGGTCATTGCTTTAAATATGACAATAAAATCACTAAGCAAGTTTATCCTGAAAAATTTTCATATAATAGATCAGAATTTAAAGAATAGCTTGCTCAGCGAGTTGGTTAATGCACAATCAGTTAACAGTTTTTAAGCAGGTCTTGATTGCTCAATGAGCAATCGAGATGAGCAGCATTCAAGCAAATTGGTTGTCATAGTGTGTTAATAACACACTCACTGGCTCTCACCAGTTACAGCAATTACTAATACTAATAATAGTTGTTTTTATGTCATCATTACATTTTGTCAGTTTATTACTGTTTGTAACTGTAGCTATGTATGTATAAATGATTATTGTATAGAAGGCAATATTGATTTATTTTGATTGTTATAATTACTTATTAATATTAATTACTTATTATTATTATTGCTCTTATTATTATTATTGTCATTATCATTGTTATTATTACTACTTTTGTTATCATTATTGTGATAAATTAGTTTCTGATACTTTTACTTTATTAATGGACATATTGTTATACTTGTTATTATCGTTATTTTTATAGGTGTTACTTTATTATTGTTGTTATAATTACTTGGTGTCTCCCGTTCGATCACGCTTCTACATGAGTGACACTTTTTTCAAATAATTATTTATATTTATACTTAATAATGATATTATATTATGACTTTGTTATTTGTATTATTATTGATATTATTATTGTTATTATATGATTGCAAATTTAGAAAAAGGAAAATAAATATCTTGTTGTTTGTTGTTGTTGTTTGTTTAACGCTGAAATTTACTTTGAAACAATCTAAGATAGAAATATTTACCTGGTAATCAAAAACAAAAATAAAAGACCAAAAAGTTAAAACATCAAAATTTCCAAAATGAAACAGCTTTTTCCAATCCAACGCTGTCGAAGTAGGTGAATCATTCAAGAAATGACATGTTCGAAAGAGGTAAATGTAACTGGTGATGTAAAACTAATTAAAGAACGTACTGCTGAGGGCAACATAGATACCGAATACCTAGTCAAAAATCTTGTTCAGGATAAAAACAGGGGCTACATGGAAGAAAAATTGTTTGAAATTGATATTATTGATGCAAGAGTAAACTATAGCGATATAGGGTATTGACACATTGACTGATTTTCTAAATTATAGCTGTTTTTAGTTTTAGAGATAACAGAATATGTTTATTTTTAAACCTATTCTGTTATCTCTTCTTCTACTCCTTATTCTTCTATATTTATATGTGTGTATAAATGTAAGTATTTATATGTATGTATGCATTTTGTGTATATATTTGTGTGCATATAAGAATATATGTGCGTGTAAATAAATTTACTTTTCTATGCATGTTTATTTGCATGCATATATTTGTGCGTATATATATACATATATGTGTATATGTACATGTGTGTAAATATGTATATGTGTGTGCGTGTGTTTGTGAGTAACTGAATTTAAAAATAGGTATAGCCTTCTCTTTATAGCACTCCCCTAAACTGCTAAACTGCTACTTCTATGCCCCTGTATTGTTGTTGCTTTGGTATTATTATTGCTTTTATAAATAACACTATTATTTTTGTTGTTGTTAATATTACTACTGTTATTATAATTAATAATATTATAATTATTATTTCTATTATTGTTATTTATTTTTAATAATTGAATTATACCATCATCGGTAAATATATATATATATATATATATATATATATATATATATATATATATATATATATATATATATAAATTAGTAAAAACACTTATCTAATTTTTCTCTTCAACAGGCTGTTTCACCATCGAATGGCTCATCAGGAAGCTGATGAGCCGTTCACAATAATTTATTATTGCTCTGTTCTTTAAGAACATTGAGCACTCTATTTGTAGAATACACTAACATAATTTATATATATATATATATATATATATATATATATATATATATATATATATATATATATATATATATATATATATATATATATATATTAATTAGTAGAAAATCACTTAACAATCTTTTTTCATTTTACAGTGTTTCATCAATTAAGACTCATCAGAACTTTTCTGATGAGTCTTAATTGATATATATATATATATGTAAGTTAATAAAATGAAAATGTATATATATAGTATATATATTTTTATATATATTATATATATTATAAAAATATTATATTATATATATTTTAAAAATATATATGGATTGACTGATCATTTAGAGACATTGAATTCACCAGAAACTGCTGACAAGAAAGGTAGTTATAGTATTTGGTTTATTTAAAATTACTCAACATTACATAAAAAGTGTGATAAAATTACAGTGTTGTAAGAATATTATGAATCATAGTTTATTTTTTTTTTAATGTTCTTTTAATTAAAAATAAATTTCTCTTATTTTCTATAAAACTTAAAATTTAAATTGAACTTTTAAAAATTTTTTCAATTTATGGGGGTTACTTGGGGAAATGATTTAAGCGTGACTTATTAAAGGGGAGAATGTTATAACTAAAAAATTAATAACATTTTTTTTAAATTAAAATTTTGCCTTATAAATTTGCAAATAGTCACACATGAGCAGTGAATGCCTCAGAAAATGAAACTTACATAAAAGAGAATTATTTTTTGAACAAAGCATATTTAGAGAGTTGTCAAGACAAAAATAAAGATTAATATTAGGAAAGTTAAAATAATTCTAATGACAAAAGTTAGACAGGCAAAGCACCCAAACAATAGTTGAAAATATAAAAAACTACATAACTTTTTATAAAAAGTAAAAATGAAAAAAAATATACACCAAATGTTATTCACCAAATTAAAATGTATAAAATAAAAAAATTAATTGCAAAATCAAAAGCTGGTTTTTTAATATCTAGTTTATCCTGTCAGATAAATGTCATTGTCTTCTTGTATTTTTTCTCCCTCCTAACTGCATAGCATTCTCATTTTCCCAATTTTCCAACACCATTTCATACATCACTAGCTTTCTTAAACATTGCACAGAACACAATCTGAGTCACTACAGGTTGGTACACTGGTTCAGGGTGTGTATTAGAGAGATTCCATTCCATGCACAGTTATTTTATCCATCATAGATTCCTGGAGGTAGTATGACTACATTGTCCAATAGCTCTTTACAATGACCCCAAATCAAAGCATTCCCTGGTGTCTTATGTCAGAGGTTCTCCATGCATAGGTGTCTAATCTATTGTGGATTTTTTGATGTATGACTGGTACTTCCCACATTTTTCTAGGTTTATGTTCACCCTTGTAATTGGCCTCTGATTGGAATAGGTTATACATAACACTCAGCAAGGACTTAGACATGATACCAGTCTATCCGTTTACATTGAGGATAAACAAGACATCTGCACATGTGCAGATGTCTTGTTTATCCTCAAGCTACTTCTATTGTTGCTGTTGTCTTTCATAAAGTTCTAAATTTTTGAGTTGTTTAATTCCCAAAGTAGCTCTTGTTTTACAGTCCAGGTTGCTATGAGCATTTGTTTTTAAGTCATTTACTTCATTTGATGTTATTCAAATGAAGTAAATGACTTACTTAATTTTTTATACATATGCTAATTATTATACATATACATATATTGTTTTATTTATCCACTAGCAAAACATGAAGGAACCAGTCTACTGCATTAAACTACAAATATATATTCAACTCTTTCAGAATGAAAGATATTTTGTATATTTTATTTTTTAAAGTTTCCATCTCCTCTCATAACATTCCTATAGTCAAATATTTCGTATCTTTAGTTTTATTTAGATCTATTGATTACAGTGCAAGATTTTAGTGATTCTATTATCCTATTCTTTAGGTTGATAGGTCAATTTGTTATGTTTTCACACTGTTGAATCTTTTATGTTGTTTTTGTTTTCTTGGCGACTAATTGTTTTTAAGCTAATCAGATGTCTCTCAACCAGCAATCCTATTTACAATCTGAGATCTGTCTGATTTATTCACTGTTGAATAATTTTTATAGTTCTCTGTAAACTAAGTTACTAACTTGTATTTATACTCATATTGGTGTTAGTATTTGTTGCACTTTGCAAACAGAGTTTGGTATACTTTTGGCCTGTATACAGGTAGACAATGTAATTAGTTAACATTTTTTTTTATTTGTTTTTTTATTTTCCTTTTTTCTTTTGTTATTGTTTCTTATTCTTCTATCTTTTTTTGTTACCACTTGTATTTTATCTGTCTTATATGTATTTAATGTATTTTCTTTCTTTATTCCTTTGTTTTCTACAAATATATTGGTGTAGCACAAAATCAGGAGGGTGTTTGGGTGTTTGGGTTTTCCGTAGTAAGGTCTGTTTTATTGCAATAATGACTGATATGATGTAGGCTACATTGTCTTACGTATGTGTGACAATGTATACATATGATGGTAGGCTACATCGTCAACATATGCTTTACCCGACAACTTATGCCTATTTCATACTGCAGCAAAATGGACTCACTACAAATAACCTAAACCCAACCACACCCAAATTCGTAAAGCACCAATATTTTTTGATGAAATGATAAAATGAGTGTAGATCCACTACACAATATAATATATGGGTATAAAATAAGTTTATAATAATATTTATTTATATAAGTAAAAATAACTAAATTAAACAACTTACCATACTCTGGTAGAAAGTATGCAAACAATAATAAAATAACAATTCCAACAAAAACAAATAGTTTACTATACTACTGGTACAAAACATTCAAGTTTAATAATATATAATAATTCCAACAGAAACTAATAGTTTACTATACTACTATAGTATTCCAACAGAAACACAAAAACTACTAAAATAAAAACGTAAATAAAAAATAAAATTCCCCTTCAAAAATTAAATAGGTATTTTTACTATAAAAAGACCCACATACTAGGCAATAAAAAACAATATACCAAACTTTTGAACTTTGATAGAAAGATTAAAAAGGTGTGAAATTAAGAAAAAGCTGAGTTAAATTGTAAAATAAAAAGTTCCTCAATAGTACTAGTAATATAAAAACCAGTGAATAAATACTGTAATAAGACCAGGTAAATTTTAGCAAATGGGTAGTTCATAAGAAATTGTGTAATATCATAAAAGTGTGATACAAAAAAAATGGAAAGAGTGAGAAAATCACAAAAAATTAACAAAACGTTATTGTCCACAATAACATTATTTACTTCCAAGATTTAGTTGTGTGGGTTGTTCATTTTCTTACACTTAGTTTAGAGACCAAAATAAATATTAGTCTTTATAAATGTGCAGTAATTAAATCTTGGAAATAAATTATGTTATAGCGAAAAAAACCTAGTTTAGAGACCAAAATAAATATTAGTTCTAAAATTATAAAAGTAAAATTAAAAGTAAACTTGTGCGATCTTAAATAAAAGCTTTTTTTCATTAAAAAAAAAACTTTTTTCATTAAAGATGCATTTTTATGTTAGCTTAGTTTGGTTGTTATTATAATTTTATTATAAAAACTTATTTTAATTTAATTTAATTTAATCATTGTGAGACACAATCTCATCAGTGATCAACAAAGCTGTATAGTAAACATGAGAGAGGGGATTCTAAGAGCAGATTTTAAAATTATTTATTATGATTCCAAATAACTAGGAATCGTGGGCGAGAAAAAATAATCTCTATGTTAGTTGGGAAAATGTGAGCACTATGAGCATCATATGCAAATGTCTTCTAGTTTATATAGCATTTCAGTGTATATGGCATTACTAAATCTCAATGAACCATATCTTAACAGTCAAATAACCAGACCTTACTAAATTTCAATGAACCATAGCTTAACAGTCAAATAACCAGAATATTTTGTCAAATGGAAAATTTTGAAATCAAAATTGCTATTTAGTAACCTAAAAAGTAAAAATTTTTGTAAGTTACTATGACAACTTAAATAATAAAAACAAAATAACAAATATGTTATCAACGGTACAAAATAAGTGGAGAACACTTTTCTATAGCAATTATCAAAATTAACAAATAGTATAATTGCATTAAGTACATAAACATTGAAAACTCTATATTGCACATAAAAGTGTAGTATATTGTCCTATTGGACAAAAGGCTTAAGTATTTAAATAATGTATTTATGTTTTGATGTATAAAACGTATCTTGTGCTCACTGGGATAACAGATAATTTTTTAAAATTTATAATAAGGATATATTTTTACAACACTTTGAAATTTTTATAAAAACATTTATTTTAAGTTACATTTATTCAAAATTTTAATTTGCCATTGTAAAAATGTCCAAGTGTAAAAAAACAACAGCTGTTAAAACAAATTTAAAAGACAAAATGGCAAATTGTTAAATCAAGTTTAATTATCTTCAAGTAACATTCATTATAAAATTAAAAAACTTTTAAGATGACAATATTTAATAAAATCAACCAGTTGAAGTCTTTCTTAATTAGATGATGTATAGAAAATTACTTAACAAAAATATGAATCAATAATATAAAGGGAACTTAGTAAATTACAAATTTGTAAAAATAATTAAAAAAAAAGTAAATTAAGAGGAGTTGCTAAAAATAAAAAAAAGTTTTTGACTTGAGCACAAATTAGAACACAAAAAAAACAACAAAAGTTTTGAATTCTTAACTTTAATTCTGTTGAACTATCTGAGAACAAATCACCTTTTTGTTTTGACAAATGCAAAATGGTTTTTTAAGATCATTTTTGATACTATATACAAAATTATTTAAAATAACCAGAATTGACAGAAATAAAAAAAATCTTCTCATAGAGTTTGTGTTAATAAGTTGCTGTGAAAGTTGCTGTTAAATAAGGCTAACAAATAAATAAATTTCACAACCAAGATTCTTAATTATAGGTTGATAACCCTCTTTTTTTAAAAAAAAATTGCATCAAAAATTGATAGAGGAATATCTGTATAAAAATGATCTACTAGCAAATGAGCAAGGCGGCGTCATTAGAAGTAAATCTTGTAACAATAATCTATTAGCCTTGACTACATTTCATCAAGCTATGTATGTATTTCAGTTGATGTAATTTTGTTTGATTTTGCTAAAGCCTCAGACACTGTTTCACTCAAGAGACTGTTATCTGAACTGAAATCATGCAACATTGATTGTCCGATACTAAAATGAAATAGAGCTTATTTAGAAAGCAGAAAACGGAGAGTTGTTCAAGGTAAAATCCATTAAAATTTTTGAATTGTACTAAGTACCATTTAAAAATCAATAAAGACTTTTAATTGATATGGGTTAAAATGTAT